TGAGCAATACGCTCCGTAATATCTTGGCCAATACCAACCATGCCCTTCACTTCGCCGTGCTCGTTGTATCGTGGTGTAGCGTTCAGCAAGATCTCCACACGCCGACCAGCCTTCGTGATAAGCGGGAACTCGAAATTCGCAGTCTCTACGCCTTCGAAAGCCTTCTCGAGAACACTACGCACGGGGATCTTGTACTCCTCTGAGATGAACTCGGCAACCAAATCCTTGCCTAACACATCCTCATTCGTGTACTGCATAATGTGCGCAGCCTTACGGTTCCAAATGTTCACACGACCGTTGATGTCCACACCAAAGATCGGAGCATTGGCCGTGTCAATCAAACGGCTGTACTCTTGTTCTTGAGCAATACGTTCCGTGATATCTTGACCAATACCAACCATACCCATAACCTCCCCACGCTCATTGTAGCGAGGTGTTGCATTCAGAAGGATTTCCACACGACGACCGGCCTTCGTGATCAACGGAAATTCAAAGTTCGCGGTTTCAATACCTTCAAAAGCCTTCTCCAACACGCTCCGCACAGGAACCTTGTATTCGTTCGAGATGAACTCCGCGACAAGGTCTTTACCCAACACATCCTCGTTCGTGTACTGCATGATATCGGCCGCCTTTCGATTCCAGATGTTCACATGACCGTTGATGTCCACACCGAAAATCGGAGCGTTCGCTGTGTCAATCAGTCGTGTGTACTCTTGCTCCTGAGCGATACGCTCCGTGATGTCCTGGCCGATGCCAACCATTCCCATCACTTCACCATGCTCATTGTAGCGCGGCGTGGCATTCAACAAAATTTCCACTCGCCGGCCGGCCTTCGTGATCAATGGGAACTCGAAGTTTGCTGTCTCCACACCTTCGAATGCTTTCTCCAGCACGCTACGAACGGGAACCTTATACTCCTTCGAGATGAACTCAGCCACCAAATCCTTACCAAGAACTTCCGCATTCATGTACTGGGTCGTTTCAGCAGCCTTACGGTTCCAGATATTCACACGACCATTGATATCGACACCAAAGATCGGGGCATTAGCAGTATCAATCAGGCGAGTGTACTCCTGTTCCTGAGCGATACGTTCAGTGATGTCTTGGCCGAT